TTTCATGTACACAGCAGTGTGAAAATCACATGTCCCCTCTGAGCTCAGTGGTCCCTGTGAATCAGTTGAGATTTGATGGGAGTGAACCACCAGCTCAGCAAACTGTGTTGTGTAAGGTGTAAAATTCTCTGTAACAGTCTCACTTTTCTTTCTTTATAGGTCAATGGCACAGATGCAGATTTTGAGTATGAAGAAATTACTCTTGAAAGGGTAAGAAATGTGCTAAATGTCTTTCTGTGCTACTCTGTTCTATATGAAATCTATGATGCTTTAACATGAAAAATTAACCTCTTCATACTGATTGATAAGAAAAAAAATACACCCACTTGCTGGACCAGGAATATAAGTTTTTATTAACATCCTTGACCAATAGGAGTAAAATGGGGGAAGCATCTCCCTGAGACATACTGCATTTAATGTCATTATCTAGGCTTGTAGAGAGTAATAACACAAATTATGATTTCATTTCCTATATTGCCATTTATGATAGGCTTTTATTTATACCATTAAGGTTTATATTAAGATTCAGGCTTCCAGCTGAGATCGCATACAGTGCTTTGGTAGGTTTACAGTGTTGAGCTCTATCTCAGCTCTCCTTTCTTGAGCTGCACTGTTAACAAAAAGTAAGAAAGAAATGGTTGTATGTGATGCCTGTGCAGTTCTGGTGGTTACTGAGACAATGGAGGGGTCTTGCAGTTGATAGTAGGGGCAGGCATTTCCCTCAAAGGGGAAGAAGTCTAAGTCTCTACTGCTGTGAGGATGTATTACATATGTGACACAAATTACTTGGGAGCTTCTCTGGAAAAAATACTTTGTCACTCTTAATTTAATAAGGAACAAATATGAATAATCTCAAAGATTAGCTCACATAGAGGATGAAGCTTTTGTCTAGTTTATAAAGTTCACTTCAGTGAGAAAGCTGTGGGGTTGGAACTGTATCTCTTACAATGTTCTATGAAAATAAGTATAATTACACTTTATATATGATTGATGTAGTATATTGCTTAATATTTTTTATATCAGTGAAACTTACATAGATTTGGTTCTGTATTGAATCAAATAGATATACTGGAATATCTTTTAATCAAAAAAGAAATGTTTTGTTGTTTGTTTTTTTTCCCCCCTCTACCCTTAGGGAAATTCAGGACTTGGCTTTAGCATTGCAGGTGGTACAGACAACCCACATATTGGGGATGATTCAAGTATTTTCATTACAAAAATTATAGCCGGGGGTGCAGCTGCACAGGATGGAAGATTACGGTATGATGACTTGGCAAATCGTTGTGATTCTGTTACTTTTAGTAGTTTTATTATGCTATAGTACATTTTAAATAAGTTTCTCTTACAGTATTTTGTAAATAATGAAAAATGTTTGAGTGCACCAACTGATTTATTTCTTTTTCTAATCAAGAAAATCTGCAGTTAAGTGAATGTAAGTGAACTTTATCTTTTGTCTTTGGTGGTATAAATTGATTATGCCATATAGTCTGTAGTCCTTAATTCAATATACAAAGGAAGAGCTCAGTCAAGTAGGATAGGTAACTCCTGGTTATCCATGTGCAGGTTTTCTGATCTCTGAGATAGTTGAGCTTAATCAACAACCCTCTTTTATGCTTGGTATAATTCAGTGTCTTAATTTTTCAAAGACACTATGCATCTTCAAAAGCACTATTTTTTGTTTAAATTAATAGAGTATTCCTTCTCCAGTATAGCTCATCTTCTTTTTAATTGTGGAACAATGCTACTACTAAACTCCTAGTGAGGAAATGTTACTATACTATAGTAATGCATATTACTAGATGGTAGCAAGTGTTTTGAAGTTTGCAACTACATTTCAAGAATACTGTTAAAAGTTAATAACAAATTGCATTAATAAATTATTCTTCTAATCTAATCCAGAACAGTCTTTAAGTGTACACCTGTATTACTGTGTGTGAAGAAACCACACCTGATTGTAGGACCAGCTTTTTTTCTTTTCTATTGTCAAGAACTTGCCCTACCATTTTTGGTGCAAATGCCTGGTGCATTGTTTGTTTTAATCCTAATAAGCTTATTTCAAGGCTTCATTTTAGCTTGTTGGCTGTTGTCAGAGGTACATCTGGCAGCACACGGTGACAGGTGGGTCAGGCATTGTACTCGGTGACATAAGAGCTCAGTGTTACTACAGCAGCATGTTAAATGGAGTGGAAAGCCAGCACTTAAACAGCTTGTGAAAAGCAGGAATAGAAGTTGACTTGTTCATGCTGAGGCTTAAGACTAGTGTGTTCTCATTGTGTGCCTCCTGGTGTCCGAATTTTAAAATTCTTTTTTATAGCCCTAAAGAAAAGGTAGTTTGTACAAAGCTTTTTTCAAAATGTTGTTTAAATGAAACACATTTAAGTTGGTGTCCCCTTTAGCTGTGAACAAAACATTCCTGTTAGTTTTCCAGTAATCCTTGTTTTAATTTTAGGCATTAATAACTAACTTTAGAGCATTGTCTTGAATCAAGATAATTTTGAAGCAAAATCTATATATCTTAATGTGTTAACTTGTAGTTAGTGTATTGTAGGTAAAATATTAGGCTTCTAATGTGTCCACTCTAATGGGTTACTACTGTAACACATCAGCTGAAGATGAGTGTTGCTCCCTGCAGGGTGAACGACTGCATCCTGCGAGTGAACGAGGTGGACGTCCGTGACGTGACGCACAGCAAAGCCGTGGAAGCCTTGAAAGAAGCGGGATCCATCGTGCGGTTGTACGTCAAACGGAGGAAACCAGTCACAGAAAAAATAGTGGAAATCAAACTTGTCAAAGGCCCCAAAGGTACGTGGGTCATACGAAGCCTCTGTTTCACAAGGAGGGCAGAGCTGGCGATAGATTTCTTCGTGTATTTTTTGAAATAGAATGTTACCTTGAATATGAAGCTCTAGGAAATGCAGAATAATGGAAAATAAGATAAATGCTTCTGAATTTTCATCCATGTGTCTGGAAACTGTTTTTGCAGAATGCATATTTTTCTTCCAAATGTTAAAAAGTGCTTCTGATAGTAATTTTAAAGTACATTATAAATCAAGAGTAAAATATTTCATTTAATAACATAAATCTCTCTTTGAGAGATTAAGAAACACTTAAAGTATTATTTTGTTTCTGTGTGGGTAAATGTTGGACAATTGTTCTTTAATATCAGTGATGATGCTGTAGCTGTGCTGTGTGCATCTTTCACAAGGCATGAAGTAAATGATTTAGCTTTTGATTTTTTGGAACTTCTGTAAATGTTACACCTTTTCAAGAACTTTCTGGAAGGTTATGGAGTTCTCTTGGAAAGGCATCCAGTAGTGTTTCAGTGTGAGCCTAGTATTTTTATATATATGCATGCATGACACAAATAGCATTATTATTATTTATATACTAATTTGAATCTAATGAATGCTGAAAGGTTTCTTGAGTATTGACTTTATCTTCAAGCAGGTCTTGGTTTCAGTATTGCTGGTGGTGTAGGAAATCAGCATATACCTGGTGACAACAGCATCTATGTAACCAAAATTATTGAAGGTGGGGCAGCACATAAAGATGGCAAACTTCAGATTGGAGACAAACTTTTAGCTGTAAGTAAGAGCTGCATTTATTTTTTTTTTTTTTTTTTTTCTTTTAATGGTCACTCGCTTTCAGGCCCGGTAAGGGTATGATTTACTTTGTGGTTAAACTACCTGCTAGTGGAATGTTATTTTATAGAAACCACTAAAAATAAATTGATGCTGCCAGAAAATCAGTGATAAAAACTAAATCTGCAGTGTTCCAACACCATCTCATCAGGAAATCTGAAAGCAACTCAGTGTCTCATGCACAACCTGTATTAATCAGCATGTTTATTTCTGCTGTCTGCTATTATTTTTCTGGGATCTGAGTGATGGGATTGTAAACCAGCACACAATGGGATTGTTTCTCTTTTCAAAAAAGAAGAATGAAAAGGGACTCCATGTACTAGTGGCTGGTCAGCCTGTAGTGAAACTGCTGCTTATATTTTATTTCAGTGTTTGTGATGCTTTCACATGGGTTTGGATTTTTTTGTTTGTTTGTTTTAAGCCTAGAATACTTCAAAGTTGGATTTTCTATTCCCAAAGTAAAAATAACTTTCAACCTTCTTAAATTCTATCTCCAAATCTGGTTGTCCAGCTAGAAAAAATGAGAGCCAGAGCCAGGAATTCCTGAGAGAATTACTGAATGAATTGTAAATTCAACTCTTGTAAGGTGTCATTGCTCTTTGCTCCCTGCTCCTACCTCTGCCAGGCAGTACCTGCTTCTGGAAGAGCTCTGAGTGCATCTGTCCTCAGAGTACATGAGAGCAGAAGTATTGGGAATGAGATCTTGGTGTTGCAATGGGTTGTTCTGTGAAATCAGCTCAAGACACAAGCAAATCCTTACTGGAGCATTGGGAGGGAAAAAGAGAATCTATTATGTTTACTGTTAGCTGCACAGTAAACACCCACCTTTATGTGCTATGCAGATTCACAGAACCAAAGAACCAACTGTTTGATGATAATGCTCTTAATATTTGATGGTTTTAAGTTTTCAGATTGCAAGGGCACTGGAAAGCTTCCTTTAATAATAGCAAAATACTTTCCAGCCTTATAACTTGTAACCTGTACAAGAAAATTTCATGTTAACTTGCTTATATCTTAAAACATACGGAAGGATTTAAGGAATTTTTGTTAGAAATGGCAAACTTTGGTGACAGATTACTTTGTCCATTATTACTTTATCCATTAAAAAAATTTGCCTGACAAAACCAAATTAAACAGCCTTGGATTACTATCAATTGCAATTAATATAATTGCTTCAGGGTTGCAAAGAATAGCAGTATGCTATTGGATATAGTAAATACAGTGTCCTAATTTACTGTAGCTGTAATTGTTCCCTCGGTTCATTAAATTTGGAAAGAAGTGAAGAAAATGTCATCTGTAATATCTTCTGATTAGCTGAATTTCAATTAGTCAAAGCTTTAACCAGTAATGTAGACATAAACTTCCATATTTTGCAGAATCTTCGAGATATGGGAGAGAGGGTCAGCAGCTCAGTGTACTAAGGCTTTATATAAAATACTCATTGTTAAAGGATTTTTAATTTTTTTTTTTTAACTGAAGTGCTAGTGCTTTACCTTAATAGCAGTAGTTTACAATTATAACCTGTTGCCTATGAATTTCCAGTTCTCTGTAACCCTGACAGTAAAGAAGTTCTCCCTCATGTTGAGGTTGAACTTCTTGTGCTCCAGCTTGCGACCATTACCCCGTGTCCTATCGCATGGCACAAGTGAGAAGAGGTTGCCCCTTCCTTCCTGACACCCAGCCCGCATATATTTATAAACATTAATTAGATCCCCCCGAAGTCTTCTCCAGACTAAACAGCCCCAGGTCTCTCAGCCTCTCCTCATAAGGCTGGTGTTCCAGTCCCCCAGTCATCTTCGTAGCCCTGCGCTGGACTCTCTCGAGTAGATCTCTGTCCCTCTTGAGATGGGGGGCCCAGAACTGAACATAGAAATCATAGAATAGTTTGGGTAGGGAGGGATCTTGAAGAGCATACAGTTCCAATTCCCCTGCCAAGGGCAGGGACAACTCCCACTAGACAACGTTGATCAAAGCCACATCTAACTGGGTCTTGAACGTCTCTGGGGATGGAACATACACAACTTCCCTGATCAACCTATTCCAGTGTCTAACCACCCTGATATGGAAGAGCTGCTTCCTAATTTCTAGTCTAAATCTACTCTCTTGCAGTTTGAACCCATTACCCCTTGTTCTATTACTACAACCCTTGTAAAAAGTCCCTCTGCAGCTTTCTTGTAGGCACCCTGTAGATACTGGAAGGCCGCAATAAGGTCTCACCAGAGCATTGTCTTCTCTGGTTTGAACAACCCCAACTCTCTCAGCCTGTCCTCACAGGGGAAATGTTTCAGATGATTCCTCTGATCATCTTCATGGCCCTCCTCTGGACTTGCTTCAGCAGGTCCATGATGTTCTTGTGTTGGGACGTCCAGAGCTGGACACAGTACTCCAGGTGGAGTCTCACCAGAGTGGGGTGAGGGGGAGAATCACCTCCCTTGACCTGCTGGTCACGCTGCTTTTGATGTAGCTCAGGATACGGTTGTATTTCTGGGCTGCACTTGCGTGTTGTTGGCTCATGTTGAGCTTTTCATCAGCCAGCACCCTCAAGTCTTTCTCCTCAGGCCTGCTCTCAATCCATACTCGTCTCAGCCTGTATTTCTGTCTATTTTGTGTAATTATGTAGTGACAAGATAATGTAGGATTTATTCTTACTGGAAGAAGTGTTGTTCTATTTAATTTTTGCAATAACCTGCTGTGTCAGTGCTGTGACTGTGCACACTTTGGGCATTTTGAGTGCCATATTTATCCCATTAGGTTTCCAACACCAAGTGTGCCTTCTTTACAATGTTACAGTCAGTACATTTTCTTATAATCTTTTGAGGAAAGACTTGTCTTTCATATATTTCACAGCACTACAAAGCAACTCTTATGTAACTTTTATGTAAGCAATTATGACACATGAATCTTAATGAAGACTCTCAATGCAAGAGTACTCCAGCAGCTTTCATTGACTGTCCTATGAAAAAGCACATTTTTCTGTTGAAAATTTATTTTTTTTCTCTTTAGGTGAACAGTGTTTGCTTAGAAGAAGTTACTCATGAAGAAGCAGTGACTGCCTTAAAAAACACATCTGACTTTGTTTATCTGAAAGTTGCAAAACCCACCAGCATGTTCATGAATGACAGTTATGCCCCTCCTGACATCACAAACTGTAAGTTCAGCTTGTCTTTGTGACTCAATTATTTTTTGCTTTAGGATACCAAATTTTTAGTATTTTAACAATTTCAAGCTTTTAAAACTATACAGTGTGAAAATCTGATATCAGAAAGTTGTTGAAAATTATATGCTGAATAGAGTAACGTATTATAAGTTGTGTACTGAAAAGATAGCAACAGTGGGGCTCTCTGTGTGACTGAGTGATGTGGCCTAGTCCTAGTGACTCGATGTTGCTGATTATTTGCTGATGAATACAAGAAGAATTTGTGCCTCATTCTCCTTGGAAGCTGTGAAGAGTAACAAACAATGCACTGCATAGCTGTTCAGTGTCCTGTGAACTGAGAAAAAGACAATACCGTTTAGGTGGAGGTTGGTGATGTTCTGACTTTATTTCTATTTTCCTGCCTTTTCATGAGCTACACATACTTGACTAAACTGGACTGGGAGGATGGGGAGATCTTGGCCTCTCGTGCGTTCCTCTAAATGTGTTGTGAAATTCCATATTAACATATTTGAAATGTTACTTCAGTTTTGACATAAGTGTTGATAAGTCAAATGGAAAACCAGAGAATCCTGTATTGGAAATAGTTATAAGAATTTATTGTTGACATAAGAGTACTGTTTACAGGAGCCTTTTTGATTTCAAACATCTACATGGAGAACAGCCGGCTATTTTCCCTTATAGTATCTAGTTTTTTACAATAATACAACCTTTCCCACTATTTCCTTGGAAAGCATACTTCTTTTCTTTTCCAGCTATAACTGACCTCTTGTGTTTCACCTTGAATTTAGATTTCCTGAAACAGACGTAACATGATTTGTACTTAATGTTCCCTGGTAGTGCTGCAGGAATGTAATTGCACTGCTGTGGGTGGTGATGTGACAAACATAGAAGTATCTGTTACTAATGTATCTATTACATATTTATAAAAGAGAACCATAACCTTGCAACTAGAAAGCCTCTAGTTTCTGTAGAGGAGTTGCTTAATTAGGTAGAACTTATACCAAAAAATGGTGGCTCCTGTACTTTAGAAGTCCTGTACTGTGTTTCAGAAGCTGATGTTTTCAGGGCTACCGTTTCAAGGTTTGTTTGCACCTTCATTCTGGTCTCAAATGAGACCTCCAAAAGTGATGCTGCAATTACCTGGCTTAGGAGCTTTGTTAGGGCCTCTGAAGAGCTTTTTCCAGGTGACAGATGTTAAAGATCTGTTTCCTAGAATTGTTTGGATTGTGAGTGAATGTTGAAAGAGTTACAAGTCTTCCTGCCTTACCTACTAACCTGCAGCTGTTTTGAGATACGAATTTACAATCCTCATTTGTATTTCTGTCCATCAGAATCCTCTTACCCAGCTTCTTAGGAGTTCAGGCACATCATAAAGGAGAAATAATATGTACTAGTCTTTTCACTAATGAACCTCTTAAATCTGCACAGATGCAGCCTACGGACATGTACACTAGAAATGATAAGGTAGAAATCCTGTCTGTTACCTGAGTATTTATGTAGACTACCCACTGCCCAAAAGCCCCCTTGGTTTATTTTTATTTTTAAAATTTTTAAAAAATTTTATGGGTTTTTTTAAATACTCATTTTGTCAGAAACATCTAACAGTACAGTGAACAGTACTTACCATCTTGGTATCTGTACTGTCTGCAGAACATGCAGTAGATTGCTCACTATCCTAACTTCTTTAGACGTAGCAGTTCACTCAAAAGACCACAAAATGCCAAATTCAGAATTTGCTTCCCTTGAAGACTTTCTCTGTAGAACTGGTCTTATTTGCTTATAGGGCTGCTTCTCTTTAGTAATGGGGATTTAAAATGCAGAACTAAGGATACTGAAGAACTGTTTGAGAACCAGATTCACAAATTTCAGTATCTAGGTTTTTGGCAAAATGTTTTCTTTTAGAACTGCTGTAGCCACACAATAGTATGGACTTGTCAGGTGGTCTGATGATGCAAAAGATGGAACAAAGTAAGTTAGCCATGTGGATAATTAAATAAATTTATATTTCTTTGGGATTAGTGTCTTTGAATCAAGACACATTTGATCAAGAGGTTTCTGAGATTATGATTTATGACAGTATTTACTGAGAAGAGTACAAATCCTGCCAATGTTGTGGGACGTGGGGCTGAAAATTGACCTCCATCATTTGATATTTATCAGAGTGAGTGCACAGCTTCCGGCTGTCCGTGAGGGAGTTGATGTTGAAAATCTCCTTAAAGAATAGTTGGGGCTCTCTGAGACCAGAACATGTGGCGGGGAATGAATGTGGAGAAGATAGTTCATGGTTGTGTGCTGTAGTTCTAAAGACGGGTGTGTGTATGGGTGGTGAAAGGTCGACCACAGCCATTGACAGTCTTGGAATAATTGATTGCTGTACCTGTTTCTGTTGCTACTAAGACTTTTCTTTTAACCCTTGAGGTGTGGATTGCTAGTTTAACAGTTACTTGACAGTCATCTCCATTATCTGACTCAAGAAAAATGCAGTTATGAAAGACGGTTCTTTCTGAGCACATTGCCGTTTGCATACTGCTCTGCTGTCTGGGATCCAGTCTCCGAGACGCTGAACACGAGAAGTTCTAGTATAGGAAACATGGACATTCAGCAAACCCCCTGTGTTCATTGCACGCAGAGGAACAACAGTGCTGTAGGTGGGATGGCCCTGTGAACTGATGGCACCCAGCTGGCTAGCACCGTTGGCAACTAAACTGATTGGTTTGTTTGAGAGTCATAGCTGTTAGTCTTCTGTGGTATGTCATATGTCAGTAGGGAGTATAAACAGCCTCAGTAATCTATACATAAATGTTGATTATTGAATAGTTCCTGGAACAAATGTCCAGTAACTTGCTGGTATAAATGCTTTTAAAGTTACTCAGTTGAAATATTACTAAGAGAGTGTAGAACTTTCTGTTTTAAGATACCAACATTACCTGTTGTCAAGGGTTAGGGCTGGGCTGGCCACCAGACGAATGACAGATATTCTCTATTAACCCCTCTCCCTTTCCAAGGAGAAGGAGAAAGGGAATAAGTGAGACAGACTTATGGTTTGAGAAAAAAAGCTAAAACGGCTTTAATGATAACAATAACAATTAAATTTAATATACACAAATATATACAAAAGCAGTACAGAACCCAACCCCCCTGATGGCAATACATCACTGTCACCACTGGTGCTCTGGAACAGGCACTGGGGAAGTCCCAGACTGGACTCAGTGGCAGACAGGGACAGGATTCAGAAAACTTATTCTGGAACTGAATTCAGGAACACATGTATTGGGATCAAGGGAAGAGCAAAGTCCTCCTCAGACAATGTCCATTGAAGAAGAGCTTGACCCTTGTGATCCCTCAGCTTTATACTGAACATGATGTATGTGGGATGGAATCCCTCACTGGTCAGTGTGGGGTCACTTGTCCCGGCTGCTCCTCCCTGCAGGCGCAGCCTTTCACTCTCTGCACCCCCAACATGGTACACAAGGTTTAGCAGTGACCTTGGTCTGCACACCAGTCCTTGGCAGTAACTCTAAACATTGAGCATTATCACTGCTATAGGCAGACACTGCCTGCAAAAGCACGCTGTTAATTTCAGAAGTGCAGTTAGTTAGAAGAGACTGAGCTGAGAAGTGAAACCACTGAACAGAATTAGTTCTGTTCTAACTTAAACCATGACCAGTACAGTGCATATTGTAGAGTATCAAGAATCAGGAAAGTGACTATACATTTTGAGAGACAGAGGACTTGCTTCCTATACAGGTCTCCTTTGAAGACATTATTAATGATGAATTTTTGACTCGTAGCCAATTTTAAAGTACTTTGTGTGTGTGCGCATTGGTACAGTATTACCACTCTGCATTGACAAATAATATACTTGAAGGTCAGGAGCAACCAGTTTCCTCACTAGAGGCATAAATGCTTTGTTGTTGCTAAAGTGGCATTAATATAGGAAGAGAAGAGTATGTAAAAGCAGTAAATGATAATGAAGTGATCATTTTCTTTTCCATTTTGGAGATTGTACTTGTGATTGGTGTCCTCAGTTTGCAGATAATAGGGAAATAATAGGAAATCTTCCATTTTCTTTTTGTGTAGAACTGCTTTACATTGAGGAAGAGTGGATTTGGAAATGGAATTTCTCCTTAAGAGTCTCTGACTTTTCATGTCAAAGAACGTTCATGTTATACATGCAATTTTCTGTTTCCAAAACACCATTCCTTTATCAGTTACATCAGTAACAATATTTAATTGCAAAACAGAAATTTAGACCTGATTTAGGATTCAGCTATCCACAGTGTCTGTTTCTGAAAAGGGTTTTTTTAGAAGGTTTCTCAAACTAAAACATTTACTTACTGACACAGGGTGAGGACAATGGGAAATGTGTAGATGTGACACAGTATTTTAGAACTGTGATATTTATAATATTTTATGTGAATGGTTATACTTTGGTTTTGTTTTGTAATACTTTGTTTCAGTTCCTCCAGCTCCTTTTCCTTCTTGCCTTAATGGTTTTTCTCCCCCTTTGAAGCTTATTCTCAGCCTGTGGATAACCATATCACCCCATCTGCCTACCTGGGACAGTCCCTGCCCCCAGCATCACCAGGGCGCTATTCACCAATTCCAAAGGGAATGCTTGGAGATGATGAGATCACCAGGTAATGAATAACAAAAGCCCATATTATATATGTGTGTGTATATACATATAATAATTTATCAGCCCAGGAGTAATATTAAAATCAGAATGTGCTGCTAAAGTGCTCAGAGTTGACTGAGTTTTTTTAGTGTGGTACTTTGACTAGAGATTTTTTGTATTTTACAGCAAACAATGTTGGGCTTTTTGTTTGTGTTGTTTTGATTTTCCACAGACAAGGGGTTGATTTGATGGTTTTGTAAATCCAGAAGGGCTAGAGAGCTCTTAATCCTTTCCTCTTTACAGACCACTTGTTCCTTCACTGATTTAGTAGATTGCATTAATCTTTTGTTCATCATTGCTGATAAAGGGAAGCTCTTCTAATTTAGTTACTTCTCTGTTGTACAAGTGTAGGGATCTTACAGTGCTTTTGCAGTATGTTGTCGCTGAATTCTGTGCCACACTGTCGTCTGGTACAGACAGTGTCACTCAGTGTCTGAGGCAGGGTCTACCCAGGATTGCAACCTAAGCAGTATAATAACTTGGAGGAATTTTAGTGTACTGGAAGGTAGGATATGTCTTTGTAGTTATTTTTAATTCAGGATTAGGTGGACATATAAGGTAAAGTGATTCTGTTCTGCAGATAGCAGTGCTGAACTTACAGTTTTATGGCTTTCTTTTAAAATTACTCTAAAAAGAATTTTTTTTAAGATTTCCTCTGAAATTCAAGGGCTATTCAGAGGAGTTAAGTGATCTTCTTTAAATTGCTGTCCCATCTTCCAATCCCTCCATGCCAAAAAGAGGTTTAAAAATTTTGACTAATATTTTAAAAGATACTACATATTCATCTTTTCTAACTGCATTATTTTTGTTAATGTATTAATTTGGTCCAGGGCCACGTACGTGGGTTTCCACAACGTTATATATCTGTAATAAAGCAGTACTCTGAAAAAGGAGTATAGTAGTTGATAAGGGGTCAAACTTAAGAATTTGTCACTAAGTTGATTTAAGAGCTAGTGCAAAAATTGAGTGATTTTTAAAGGTCAAACTAGGTTATATTTTTTATTTGTTCTGGAAAGATGCAGCTTCTTAGTTTATCCTGTAAATTAATAATTAATATCTCCAAATACTTAAGAATGTCCATTAATTGTTCTTTAGTGCTCCCTAGTGATCTTTCAAATGCAGTGCACAAGTTGCTTTGCTTTAATAGAAATGTCTGTTTCTGAAATCATTTATGCCTTCCTTACATTGGGTGAAGTAGCAGATAAATAGATTTGTGGAAGGAGTATTTCTGCATTAGAAGCTGACTGGCATTATCTTAATTTGATCAGTATTTCTTATTTCCTTCCCTCATCCGAGTCAGGAGGGGATCCTATAAAAAGAATGCAACAACTTAAGTTTAGTTTTAACTTTTTCAATTGCAGTTGCCCCAGTTGCAGGTGTATCTCAGAATGCCATAAGTTCTGATTATTTTTCATTTTTTTAAAGGGCTTATGCATATTTCTTGAATTGTATTTATTGTTTGACCAACTGGAGTGCAATTAAAGCACTAAGGACATGTTTTTCATTATAGGTGTTTCCATTAGAACTTGTTCTTTAAGTTTCAGGAGGGGAAAATAGTATTTTGTTACCATTCACCATTAGATAGAGTAAGATTATGAGCTATATTGAGTGTCTTGAATATGGAAAAGAGTTAAGTAATGACATTTAGTGCTGAATAGGAGTGTAGCAGAACAGGAATTTAGAATGCATACATAGTTACAGATTGTTTAGTTCACCTAACAATGGGGAGGGGATTTTGTGTTGCATCTAGAAGCAGAATTGAAAGCATAGAAATAACAGAAGATATTATTTGAAAGTCTAAGGTTTTGGGGGCTGGGCAAGGGTGGACACACAACATTGTTGCATTAAGAAATGTGTAGCTTTTGATGCTTAAATTTTCAGTGCTAATTCTCTAAGAGAACTTAGCCTTCCTAAGTGTTTATTTTACTTTTACTCGTGTCTTGTCACTAAGATTTAATATTCCTTTCATTTAGGGAGCCTAGGAAGGTCGTCTTGCATCGAGGATCAACAGGTCTTGGTTTCAACATTGTTGGAGGAGAAGATGGAGAAGGAATTTTCATCTCCTTTATCCTGGCAGGAGGGCCAGCTGACCTGAGTGGAGAGCTTAGAAAAGGAGATCGTATAATTTCTGTAGGATTCCTTGCTTTTTTTTTTAAACAACATCAGAATCTTTTCCTCCCCCTGGATATTAATGCCAGTTTATTATTTATATGCAAAAAATATCATTAACTGAGCTAAATTTGAGACAATAGAACTGATGTCAATATACTTCCAAAGTATCTTTGAGAACTTTAGTCTGCCTCAGTTTCTCATCTGTAACCTGAGTAAAATACTGCTTCCCTGTGTCAGAGATATTCAGTGACTATATTCAGTGAATACATCAACTTATCTTAGTCTGGTACCTGAAGGGGATGTGTGTGTCTCAACTGAAAGAATGCAGGCTTCAAAAATAAGCCTTCTAGGGAGACAGAGACACTTGACAGTAGTGCCTAAAATTGGTACTGTACTTAATGGAATAACTGTTGAGCTTCACCTTAGTCTTAAAGAGACCTGTCTAACACCTGTCATAAGGGCTTTTTCTATATTAGTACTAAAGGCCATAAAGATTTTGTGTTTATTTGTGAAATGACTTAATTTATGGTGAATAATTTCTTTGGATGATTACATTGTAACTTGTTAGCTATTTTAGAGGTTTTTTTCCCCTCTTATATTTTGGCTCTGCTGGTACTAAAATGCTGAAATTGAAGTACTTCTTTATTTTAATTTGAATTATGAAAAATGCTTTTGGTCTAAAATGTAACACACATTTCTGCATCGGTTTTTCTCTGACACTGTTATTAAATCTCCTGCCTCAAACCCAAAGCTAGACCCATGCAGGATGTGATCTGTCACTGGATGTTAAACATAATGGTCTGTAGGCAAACTTTTCCCAAGGACATTACTGAAGAGCTGTTGGAGAAAGGTGATGTGCACAATCATAGAAAGTAATGTTCTGTCTCTCTTTAAAAAGAAAGAAGGTGGTCTTAACACAAGAATAAAACTGACATAGCAGATAGAAAATCATTAGGTGCCATACTGTGACAATTGCACTACTTGTTAACAGGAGGGTGTATGGGAGAAGGGATTTATTGACTGGATTTCAATAAGGATCAGTAATATTTGTTTGTATTAGCTGTAATATTTGAAACGGGGAAACTCACATGGTGTGGAAACTAGTTTGTGTCCACTTAATTCTTCTTTACAAGTCTATGCTCTGTGATAATAAACACAAGTGTTTATTCTGATAAAGAGTTTTTTTGTATTACTTGTAGGTAAATGGAGTAGATTTAAAAGCAGCAACCCATGAACAGGCAGCAGCAGCCCTGAAGAACGCAGGCCAAGCAGTGACTATTGTAGCTCAGTACCGTCCGGAAGGTAAGGGTTGCCTCAAACATACAAGTTCACTTCTACAATTTGAAACTCAAAGGGCAATAATCTACAGTGTCTCCCCAACCCACCTTAACCCCTCTTGAGAAGAGGAGAAACAAGTAATGCAGCAGATGTTGACACTTACCTGTTAGCATAATTGCAAGCGACCAGGTAGGAATATGTGCAGACGTTGGTGCCATGTCTCGGTGTGTTTCTTGATATGGTCATGCTGAGAATTTTGATTTCTTCAGTAAATGTTAACACTGTCATAACATGAAAATTAAGCCGGTAAGTTTACAAGTTGCTAGAAATACCACGTTGTTACTTTTGTATCTCATAAGTGTCCTCACCCTTTAGCACCTTTAATACGGTGGTTTTATTTTCGTTAGTGATAGGAAGGCAAAAAAATAATTCCTACCTCTCTGTTGTGTTGATTCAGATGACCTAAGGAGACCAGCAGGTTTTCATTCTTCCATTTCATATTTGTTTATCCAGCAATTCCTTCTGGGCCAGATTAGACTGCAGCTGTTGCTGATGAACCATCGTTGTGTGTTTTGCAGAAGCCAAAGAATGCTACATCATTACCATACACATATTTGTCACATCACATTTCTGCGGTACCTTTCAAATGCCTTTCTCTCTTTGAGACTTTAAAATTCAGTAGTCTAAAATGATATGCTTACCTTGAGTCTGTAAACTCCTATATTATTGTTTGTAATATAATAAGACATTTTTGATGTCTTACTGTGAACTGTAATTATCAACAGTTTTCTCCCATTTTGGTAAATTGGATGGTCCATCATTAAGTCTCCCTTGCAGTAACTTGTTTGCTTAAACCTTTCCTTGAACATTACTGGCAAGGGGTCTGTGTAAGTCTTTATCAGGACTGGATGTTAAGCAGGCCTGCTGCCTTCATTTGAAATTTCATTCTTTATTTCTTTTCTTCTGTCATGTTTCTTTTATGCTGTCCTCTCCCAGTCTTTGAAACATTAGCTTTTACATTCCCTTCCACCTGCATCAGCATCATGTATCTCACTGACCAAGGAGCTTTGGCAGTAGTAAGACCAACTGATTTGTTTGTCCAGTTCATAATTGAATCCCTGCAACCAGCCCGTGTTGTCGATGCCTGTATTGTCTTGAGGGGGTGTGCATCCTGTTCACATTTGAATCTGTAGATTGCTCTGTTCCAGGATTCATTTTCTAGGACTGCTCTCTTAGACTTCCTTTTAGAAAGAATAGTAAGGTCAGCATTAGTTCTGGAATATTTGCTTTGTATTTGTGTTGATACACATTTGGTCCATCCTCTGGTTACTTCTTCAGAGTCGTAACAGGTGGGTCAAATTGTTACACTTCTCACTTCTAGCATATGGATCCCTTGCCTTAGTGAGAAATAAAAGGTGCTTTTATTTGCCTATGAATTGTCCTTTTGAGCATCTGGCCACTTTGTTGTTCAAATAGGGCTTTGTTGGTCACTATTTCTTCTGCCAAGAAGGTGTGCTGAAATGCACTTGTAGTAGTAGCACAAAGGTTTCTTTAATAGAATGCGTCTTGGGATATAAGCACTTCTATTTTTCCTTGCCCAAAACTGTACCCAGGCTTCATGCAAAACCACCAGTTTTTCAGTCCTCTCTTTCTGGGATTCAGGCTTTAAAAATAAAAGAAATGATTCATACTCTGAAAAACAGATCTCTCTCTTTTCCTTTTAGAATAAGAGAACTGAGCATTTTGGATGGTTCCTGCTCTTTACACATTGGAAATAACAGCTTTCTTTATTACCACTTGTCCAAGTAGATAACTTGTTTTCTTGAAATGTGTATTGAGGTGCTTGACTGACAGATGAGATTTTGAGTTATTGCACAGATTTACTCAGAGCAACATACACTGCATCTTAGAAATTTCCCAATCACTGTCACCTGTAGGCTTCAAACCCAGAGATGTACTCATTCCTTCATGGTTACTGAAGCATTCAGAACAAGACTGTATGCACTTGAGCTGTATTGAAAATGCTGTTCTTGAATTATAGGGCCCATTTGAGAGGATGCATGTGGGAGATGTTATTGAATTTTCCAAGATTATGGGCAGACATCTGACACATTCATCAAAGGTTGTTTTGTTTTGGTTTTTTTTTTTAAGATGTTTGGTCTTCATGACTATCTTTCTTCCTGAAATAGTACTTAAAATTTCTATTCAGAGTGAAGATTTTGGAAGCATGTTAAAGCCTACTTTACCCTTTTGAAGTATGCCATGAGGGAGAAGTTTAACTAGGAGATTGAGATCCATTGTAGTTTGGAGGCAGAGTGTGAACTGACACATGGACAACCTACTTCAGAGAGCTCTAGGTACTAAAATCTGACTTTGACATCACTGCTTGCCTTTTTTTTTTTACTCCTTGTAAAAAGAGATTCGATGGAACTCAAGCTGTCAGCTTCTTTCAGGTGTGGTGTGGCAGCTAATTGCATCAGCTACAGTGTTTGTATCTTAGGGACTAGTGAAGAGTGTTTTTATTATCATAGGAAAGCAGCCTGTTTGAGATTTGACCTTTCAAATAGAGATATCACCCATGTGATTGAGTGTACTTCATAAAAGTGCATATATTCTTTGATCATCTGCATATTTTATAACTTATAGCTGTGGATGATCTTCTTTTCTCTTCACTTCATTCATTTCAGTTTGGATTATATATATATATA